CTCTGTATTTGGTGGATTGTTAAAACGTCATTTCTTTGTCCAACCATTGTACTTGATTAACTTTTGTCCTCTCGATAATATTGAGGCCAGCTTAAAAAATTTTGGTTTATCAAAACATCTATATTCTGTCAGATCTTATGATTTTTGTTGCATTCTTTTCGTGAAGCTGTAAGAGGACTACATGTTATATTTGTTCTACGGTTGACTTTTTTTTTATCCACTGCAGGCCTAAGACTCAATGGAATTCGATGGTAGGTATTAGTACTGAGACTTGACTTTCTAAAATATAACGCTAAACAAAGCTTAACACTTTTTGAGAAAACATTTCAATTGTAAAACTACAATGGAAATCTTCTAATTTTAATCTCTTTTATGACTTATTTATTGCTGAGAAGTCACTCAAATTTTTATTGGTTCATGTGCCTGTTAATCTAAGCAGCTATGAAAACCTCTTATAAAGTATATGTTGCAGGATGTCCACTTCCTTGCAACTTGGAGATGATCACGAGAGGTAACGGTTTCAACTTTTCTTTCCTTGTACAATGTAATACATCTCTATCTGTTGACTCTCATCCTATGGTTGATGTGGTCCCTAAACTAATGAAATATTATATGATGTCTTTGTACTACAGAGATGTTTACTTAGATGATTCTGCCACTTTTTCCTCTCTTGTTTTAGTGCTTCTGTATTTTGAGTTATCTGCATTATCTCTATTTCATATCGTACTGTGTGGCCAGTTTGGCTGACTGTTCTATGCAATTTAAAGTTATGGTAATCTCTTTGTAGAAAATATAGGGGTTCTTGATTTATGATAAACAATATTCTGATTGGAGGCTAAGATCTTTAACTTTGTTGAAAGTAGGTGTTACCACGGGCCAAGATATCAGGGTTTATAGATATTTACATAAAATTATGGGAATATGTTGGCTACCTTTGTGAAGAAACTTTGAAAAATATCGAGGGATGGTTCTGTGGAGAGAAAGCTGGTGAGGATAGTGATAATGGGATTGGTTCTGATAATGGGATGCTTATAGAAGCCATTTTGAAGCATGGAGGTTGGTGGCACGGGCATGGTGGGTTGGGAAAGACAAATGGATTGTGAAGAAAGGTAATATTAGCTCAAATAGATTTTTTTACTACAGTTGACTTTACGTAGATACCAATATGGTAGAAACACAGAAGTTTGTGGATTTTTGGTGTTTTTGGCTATGGAGAGGAATTTAAAGATGAACTTATGCGGACAAATATGGACATCAACGTGTATCAGGCTAGAGAAAGAGTTGTTTGTTTCTTGATTCTCTTAGTTTGCTTCTAATAAGTTTGGGACATAAAAAAAAATGCATGAGATTAATATTTTGGAGGAGCAAATTTATTTTTGCTTAGTATACTTCGATAAGCATTTAGAGAAAAATACAGTGTTTTGGAGTTTTTACTTGAAAAGAGAGTTCAATCTGTTCTCTTGAATGTTAATTGCTTTTAGCACAAACTGTCATCAAACATTTTTCGAGTTTCTAAAATATACGAGTTATAGCTCTATTACATGTAGTAATCAAAAAATAGAATAGAAATAAAAAGAAAAGAAAATGCTCTCATTTAGCTTCTATTGTAAAACCCAAATGTAAATGTAAATTTTTATGTTCAGTATTTTTTTGAATGTTACACAGCTAATTGACTGGCTTAAGAAATAGAGACATCATAAAGCTATAGTGGATAAAAAAACATTGGGCTCTACCAACAAAATTTTTGCGAACGGTGGTTTCAATCTTCCACGACCAAAACCAAAAAAGAGTGAAAGAATACAGAGACGAAGAATAGGATGATGTCCTACTTTTAATTTTATATTCGTTAATGAAAACGCTAATATAGTTTTTGATCAGTTTGAGATCGCTTACAATTATTTGAGTTGCTTTTTTGTGTTTCTTATTAGACCATATCGTGTACACCTAATTTACATTTATACAATAATGTTTCGATGTTCTTCTTACATTCCAATACACCATTCCATTGTCTTGCATTCTTATCCTGAATGCTCTATTCTTCGAATCGACAGTAAAGTTCATGAGTTCAGCTCTGTGGGAGGTCTTCTTTTTTTTTTTTAGCAAAAATGAGAATACTAACTTGAACATGATAAAAACTTACACCAGGAAAAAAAAATTACGGACAAAATTTTTTTTAGAATAAATAGTGATATTTAAAGTTTGTGGAATACTAACAAGGTTAGAGAACTAGGAGCGGTTAGATATATGCAACTCTTGCTGTTGTGTGTGTTGCTGCTTCAAATGCTGTGACCTATACTTGCTACAAATAGTTGTAGTGAAAAAATTTGTACCTTAAGGTGATTGTGTATTGTGTATCAGTTACACATTGTGACTTTGTTTCAGCTTTAAAACAGCATTTCCCCTTTGTTTCAAGAGAAGGATTCATGTTAGAATGGTTGGACAATATGTGTTCATGTTATCTATGGACTATGTGCTTCTACTTTGAAAGATTATTTGAAATCGATTGTTTGGGTAAAGATAGTCAAACCCATAAAATGTGAAAATATACGTTTGGCAATTTTCAAATTTCTTAAAAATAAAGAAAAGAAGAAAAATACGAGGAAGAAGAAAACGCCAAAAACAAAGATAAGAAAGAAAAATAATATAAAGAAGAGGTAGAAGATGTGGAATAATAAGAGGCTGTAGAATAAAAAGATGATAAAAGAAAATGAAGAAGATGAGTCAAAAGAAAAATCAGAAGAATAAATTGAAGAAAAACCAAATGAAAAAAAAAGTAAAAAAAACCAAGATGAACAATATGAAAAACTAAATGACAAAGAAGAGAGATAGAGAAAAAAAGATAAAGCCAATGAAAAAACGATGAAAAAAAAAATGTTTGGATAAGACGAAGACGGTAAAAAAGAAGTGAAATGACAAATTTGGAGAAGAAGAAAAAAGCATCAGAGGAAAAGGTCGAATAATAAAACCAGTATATGGTAAACAAAATGGAAGAAGGAAACGTGGATAATTTAAAATGAATTTTCTAGGTTTTATAATCTTCTAGATTGAAAAGTTGATAATTATGGATTCATTTAGGGGTGTTATTCAATCGTAAATTTAAAATGAATTTTTTAGGTTTTATAATCTTCTAGATTTAAAAGTTGATTTTAGTTTTATGGATTCATTTGTTTATATTTTAAAATCTCTGCAATATACATTAGATTTTGATTATAATAATTTACTCATAAAACTCTTTTGGAATTGATTTGAAATGACTTAATATACAAAAATTTTAAAAGTCATTTAGTTTTGAATAACACGGAAATTTAATGAAAGATTTGAAATCTTCATTGAATAACACCAAACTTTAAATCTATAAACATGATTTTTTCAATCAAAAGATCCAGTAATACTGGATTTAAAACATCATTTGTTAAATAACAGTGAACTAGGATTAACCCGCACAATGTGCAGGGTAACGTTTTTTAAATTATTGTTAAATTTAATTTTAATTTTTTAGTTAAATTAAAATTGGTAGCAAAAATCTTTTAACAAAAAATATAATTGGTGACAACTATATAACAATACATATATAAATATCATACAACCGATACTTGTATATATATAATCAAATAGGATTTTAAGCTAGTTTTGTTAAGCGATTTAATTATTAATAGTGTTTAAATGTGAAAGTGATATGATGTAATATATATATATATATATATATATATATATATATATAGCAACATAGATTAGAATCCAAATATTTATATCCATAAAATAAGAATTCAATATTAAATATTTTATTAGAGATCAAATTATCATTTTTAGTTAATGAATTATATAATATATATAAATAATGATTATATATAGGATTGTCAAATCGGACAAACCTGTCTACTTAATCTATTTCATAATTTACTAAATTATGTTTTTTGTTGACCCGTAAAAAAATACAATTTTTCGGAAATGATATTAATTAATTTTGAAAATTTTGAAAATATATTTAGTTTTTTTTATAAAAATAATTGAATTAATTTTCGAAAATTATGCTGATTAATTATGAAAATACAAATAAAAAATATTGCAAAAATTTAAATAGATTTTTTCATATATATGGATTGATCTTTTTAAAAATAATAAAATATATTTTAATATTTTAATAAGTAAAGAAACTAAATATACTTTTGACTTATATCCACATATATTCAAAATAAATCTGTGAGCTCTATATTTAACTATCTTTTATGCAAGAATATTTAATTGAATTTTCTATATTTGTAAAGTTTATTTAAGTAATTTCTTCTTAGTAAAGTTTATTTATGTAATATTTTATAAGTAAAGGTTTATTTATGTAAAATATTCTGTAATCTCTATATTATTATTTACAGAATATTTATTTACAGATCATTGGATTTTGATTATAATAACTACTCATAAAACTCTATTGGAATTGATTTAAAATGAATTAATATACAAAAAAAATAAAAGTCATTTAATTTTGAATAACACTGAATTTTAATAAAAGTTTTGAATTCATTGAATAACACCAAACTTTAAAATCTCTTAAACATAATTTACATTCAAAAGATCCAATAATACTTGATTTTAAAATATCATTTAAAATCATTAGTTGAATAACAGTGGATTGTGGTTGTATTTAAATACTATTAAAAATCATGATTGAATAACGACCCCTAAAGGTCTATTAAAGAATAATAAAAAAGATCAGAATTATTTGTTTTTCATTTAATTCAAAAAAATAAAATGAAGTATAAGCAAAGTATCTAAGGGTCTATCAAAGTATAACAAAAAAAAAATATTATTTGTTTATCATTTAATTCAAAACAATAAAAAGGAGTGGCAAATTAATTCAAAACAATAAAAAGGAGTGGCAAATTAATTCAAAACAAAACAATCATTAGCAAAGTATCTAAGTCTTAAGGGCATGTAAAAAAAGGTATCTAAGGCCAAAGGGTATGTTCCAAAAAACAAATGTATCTAAAAGATAAAGAATAACAAAAAGAAAACAAAATTTATTTGTTTTTGATTTTCTGACAAAATCACTCTGGTTGACCTCAAAAGTTCAGTAATTTCCAGTTTCCACGCCGATCTAAAAAACAGAGACGGTGGTTTTCATTCAAAAATCTTCAAATTAGAACCCTTGCCCTAATTTAATCTTGATTTGATCGGCATAATATGGCGGTTCCGGTGCTGGGTGGGTTTCCGATCTTCTTGGTAGTGAGAGTTCTGGGTTTCATCATTGCGGCTTTGGTTCTGACATGGAATGTTCACTACAGAGGAGGATTAGCTCTTGCTTCCGATAGCAAAGATCTCATCTTTAATGTAAATCTAATGTCTTTATCTTTGAAACGCTCATAATTGGGTTTTTTAAGTTGACCCTTTTTGACAAAATTTATTTTGATCAAATACACGAAAGCTGGTTTGATGATTTGATTGTAAGAAAAAATGTTCTCGTTGGGTGTGTCTGAGATTCATGTTTCTTCGATTGCGTGTTGTGAAATTGGAATTCCGATTTTGCTTCTCTCTGTGATCTAAAAGCTCAAATTTGTTTGCAGGTTCATCCAGTTTTGATGGTGATAGGACTCATACTCTTCAATGGTGAAGGTAAACAGATTATTTTCCTTCTGTAATCACATTGATAGTATTGATTCATGTTTCTTTCTTGAGGATGATCACATTGGCAAAATTGATTCATGTTACTTTCTTGTTGATGTTTGGTTAGAGTTTGTAGAAGTTTAGCTTCTTAGCTTCATAGGTTTTAATGAACAAGACTTGAGAAACTTGTCGTATGTTTCATTCATTGAGCTGCGCATGTCGATCTTACTAATGTCAAGAGGTTTAGGATTCATAGTATCGGTTTTCTTGTTCGATTATAAGAGACCGTGTAAACATCATGTATTGGTTTCTAACGTTTTGTGTTACATTGAAATTATGCAGCAATGTTAGCATACAAGTCAGTCCAAGGTACAAAGAACTTGAAGAAACTGGTTCATCTTACACTACAATTCACAGCTTTTATCCTAAGCCTTATCGGAGTATGGGCTGCTCTCAAGTTCCATATCGACAAAGGGATCGAGAATTTCTACAGTCTCCATTCATGGCTCGGCCTAGCTTGTCTCTTTCTCTTCGCCTTCCAGGTACATACTCAAAACAAAATCTCCATTACTCTAATAAAAACACCAAGAAACTCAAACAGCTAGTATTGTTGCAAACAGTGGGCTGCAGGGTTTGTGACTTACTGGTACCCGGGCGGTTCAAGAAACAGCCGAGCCAGCTTGATGCCGTGGCACGTGTTCCTGGGGATCTACATATATGCATTGGCCATAATGACTGCAACCACAGGGATACTTGAGAAGTTGACGTTCCTGCAAGTGAATCAGGTGATAACTCGGTATTCCACAGAAGCAATGGTAGTTAACACAATGGGAGTTTTGATTCTTCTTCTTGGTGGTTTCGTGGTACTCGCTTTGGTTACACCAGTCAACGGCAAAAATCAAGTCCTTACACAGTAGAGAGAAACTCAAAAAAGATGAATTTTTTTACAATAAACATTTGTGATGATATTGAGTTTATTTAAAGTGATTTTAAGAACAGGCAAATAATGGAATTATGAGAAAATTTGGCATAGAATTCGACAAAGTTTTGTATCACAATCTCCGTGAGAAGGGAGAATAAGAGAAGCTTTCACTCATTACATCACAAGACAAAGAAAAAACATCACCGATATCGATAAAATCTTTCCCGGAGAGGCGGTTGATGAATCGCACTCTTCACAGAGTCAAAAGTTTCTAAAAAAGCATGTCAAGGCCAAAAAGAAATGAATTCCGGTGCTCCGGAAAAAGAAGCGGTGGAGGGAGGAAGCGTCGGTAATTATTCTATGCGGGTTGTGACGAGAAGAGCATGAGCTCGAGGAAGGGAATGGAGAAGAAGAAGAAAGAAGAGCTTTCACCTTAGAAGAGGGCAAAAAAATGTATAAAGCAGAGCTTTGCTTTAGACAAGCAAGTGTTCTTTCTGATATTCTCTCACAATGACAGGCACGCTTGTAGGAGGTACCTGAAAGAAAGAAGACAATGTAGAAACATGGTCAGTGTTTTGATGTTTGAGATTCTGAATAAACGGGAGCAACTGTGTTGCTTAAGCTTCAAAATGAGTTGTGTCGCGAGAACGAGAACAAAACCATCATAGAACTCAAGAACATTGTTTAGGGAATGAGATTTGAGGATCCTAATGTGATATCCTTACGGACTTGTGTGTGTGCATACATACAAATAATAAAGTCAAGCATCTTACCATCCCGTAGTCTGTGATTATCATGGAAATGTAATCTGAAGGTGTAGCATCGTACCTGTCATTACAAAAATCACAAAACGGGTTTAGAGGCAGTGAAGAATAGTATTAAAAGAACATATAGTTTCACTTCACGGGTTAAACAAGCTTACATCAAGTTCAAAAATTGCAAGTTTGCGTTGTTGGTTAAACCATCTAAGTAGTTTATGTCTTCTCTTCCATGTACTTTAGAAATAGCATTTGGATCACCTAAAGGAAGCAAACAAGAGATCCAATGTAAGGTAGAAGCGGTATAAGGTAAGATTCTGAAGGAGAATAGGAGATGATGCATACCAAGCTCATTAGAGCATATCGAATCCAGCTGCACCCTCTCATGGAACTTGTAGGCTTCGCAACATACTAGCACAGGAACACGGAATGCACTTGCAACCATCGCAACACAAGCAGTGCCGACCCTTGAGTAAACTGTTCCGTTTGACAAAACTGACGAGGCCCCCAAAAACACTTTGGTGACCTCGTGCATGATATATGAAATGGCGTTTATATGAGTGTATGTACAGTTAATGCCTCGCTTGATCAATCTACGAAGCAGCAGCTGCCCTTCAAGCTTTGGTCGGGAATCAACCACCAAGACACGGAATTTCTTCCTGAGCTCATGTGCATGTAATAACACCATCTCAACAGCGGTTGCAGCTCCATAGGTCAGAAGGACATCGCCGTCTCTTATTTTGGAGACAGCGTGTTTGACTATCACGTTATCTGCCATTATGATCTTCTCGTTAATGAACCGTTCAATATCTGACTGAAGAGCAGCTTTTGCTTCGTATTCAGCAAGTGTTATAGGCAGCTTAGCGATCCGGTTTTTCACGAACCGGATTGCGTTTCCCATGCTAACTGAGAGCGGGCGGCATTCTATGAGGAAAGAGACGTAGCTACTTATTTTTGCAGTCATGTCTCTGTTAAGAGTCTTCTCAGGCGGCGTCGAATAATCTCTGACAACCTCTTGGAATGCTTGGAGCATTGCAATGCACCTGGCATTGCCACCAGATATATCCCCGGAAATATATTGAAGACCAACCTTATAACCACAACAACTGATACTCATTCAATACACAAGTAAACATTCATCTTCATGAAGCGATCATCATAGCAAACGGTTCCATAACACGAGCACCAAGCCAATGAAATCAAGAGAAAACAAGTACCTTGTACACAGCAGGATGCATAGGGTCAAGCTGGAAGAACTTTGTCTCGAGATCAGGAAGTTGCGTCCCATGCTCATACTGAGGCAAATGCCTAAACAGCTCAACCCTGTTTTTAGCCTCTGTCTGTTTCACAACAGCACGTCTTTTCGCCTTCACGACTCTGCTCTCGTCATCATACTGCATACGGGGATGAGGAGCGTCTTTCTTTCTATCTTTCTCGGATGGTCCAGCAGCAACAGCTCCTTCGTTCTTCTGAGACGAAGGCTTTGCTGGTTTAGCTGCTTTGCTTGTTGAAGCCACCGAGCCTGAGGTCACTAATGGCGCCTTCCCACCTTCAGCTGATATAGCACAAGAATAAGCAAGATATCACCGAAATGCAAGAAGATAATACATGCAATTTCGTTTCCAGAACCTTTTGCAGCTGCTTTAGCAGCTCTTTGAGCTTCTTGAAGAGCTCGTCTCTCAGCTTTTGTTGTTTTCTCTTTCAACGGCTTAGAATTCTTCATCTGGTCACTCTGCACCTGCTTCCCACTAGCCTTCTCTGCAGTTTTCAAAAACACAAAACATTGTGATTCAAGAACCAATTTGCGAATCAATCAAGAATTGTCAGAGATTTTTGGAGCAAAATGACAGTACCAGTAAGTCCAGGAGGCATATTCACGATGGAGACAGTGGTTAATCTACTAGCAGGAACACTACTAGATGTAGCCGCCGCCATAGAATCCATCCCGACGCCGGGAAGCGAAGACGCAGCCGGAACAGACGATTTCGCGAAACTGCCCCTGGAAACGCGTCCCGGAGACGCCGTCGTTGAGCCGTCTGGGAAATCGCGGCGGCTGGAGTAAGAGAAGGAGGAAGGAGAGACGGCCGAGGCGGCGGCGGCGCGAAGAGGGAAGGTATCGGAGGAGTTGTGACGAGGCGGAGGAATCATGACGGGGGAAAGTGAGTTGCCGGAGGGAGAAATGCTGGAAACGGGATGAGAAGCAGGGGCGATCGGGTCGGGTTGCGGAGTCGAATCGGGTTGAGAAGATGATGTGAAGAATCCGACTTGTCGGACCTTTGGATCGACAACGGCGCGAGGATTCCGTCGAGACTCCATCGCGTTAGAAATGGGTTAGCTTAGCTTAGCTATGGCTTTTTTTTTTCTCGGCGGAGACGGAATATCAGGAAATTTTCTCGGGAAAATTGGTTTTGGGGATCGAATTTTTTTCTTTTTTTTCCCCAGTCGAATAAAAACCGTGAATAGGGTTTTTCTCCTCTTTTTGTTTTTCTTTTGAAACAAAAAAAAAAAAATCCTTTTTCAAAATTAAACTCTTTCTTGACAGTCTCTCTCCGGTCAATAAAACAGTCTTCCTTTGAACTTTGGTTACTTTGGTTCGATTCTTTACGTTTTTGGGTGGTTTGGGTTCTTAAAATACTAAACCATCAATTTTTTATCAAATCAAATTACAATTCGGTTCGGTTTTAGTTAGTTTTTTAATTTTGTTACCGAACTAAATCGAAATTTGTGGACTTCTGTTCAAATTCAGTTAGATTCGGTTAGCTCGGCAAACTTTCGATTAGTTTGATTCGTCGGTTCGGAATTGTAAATGTATAATTGGACCAATTTGATGAAATTCAATCAAATTGTGTTTGCTAATTGGTTATAGTTAGACTGGTGATTAAGAGAAAAGTCAACGTAAAGCTAAACCACTTTTGCCACTACAAGAAGCCACAAAACATCTGGAGTTTCCAATTACTACTACTAGTACTGTAATCAGCAACAGAACAGAGAGAATGAGAACTGAGAACACATTTCATGAGATTTATCATGTTCAGGCATACCGAAAAAGAGCAATAGAGAAAAGATCAAACAACAAGTTGAGTGAAGGTTTTTGGACAGATACAAATTCATACATGACCTTACTCATGAGATTCAAGATTCAAGCCTTGATGATAGAAACACTTTGATGGTACTAAGAATCGTTTTGACCTACATGAAACTTGGGCAAGGTGGGCCTTTGGAGAGACCAAGCCTAACTTCCATGGCATGGTGAAAGTCTACTGGTTTGAGCGTCTCGGATTCACGAGGATCTGCAGGTTAGATACTATTATCAGAACAACCGATAAACAAGTTGAACATTGTGCTCTTGTATAAGTAGAACACTATTTACTAAGCGAAGAGTTCAATTTTCTGCAAGAATGAGGATGGTTACATTCAATGAAAGTAGTATGTGACAGCCCCTTTTTGAGTGTAAGAAGACAACACTATAGGTGTTTGGTGTCGAATGATATAAAGAGAAGAGACTAGTAAAGATGAAGTTCTGAGGCACAACCAAAAAGAATAGAGCTGGGAAAAACAGTTACCGTTCAAGTAATCTTCGAAACCAAAGTTATCTACAGCTCCTGTGTAGACTTCTAGGCCAAGCATTGACGAGGGAATCGGTCCAGGAGGTCTCTGAAACCTGAATTACTCCAGAGAAAAAAAAAAAGATATTCAGTAAATGTTCAATTCACCAAAGAAAGACGTATGTGAACCTCTTCAAAATCTATGTAGTCTGCGAATCTAAAGAGTTTCCACTATGCGTTTAATGGTTTTGAGTTCCGATATATATAATCAATACTAGGATTCATAACACATTTCTAACAGCAACTGATATTACCATACCGATTGCACTGAAAAGTAGAGAATATACTTAATAAATGTTTAATTCCACCAAAGGAAAACAAGGCTGCGCTATGTGAATATCTTCAAACTCTATGTAGTCTTAAAGAGTTTCCCAATGCGTTTCGTGTTACTATGTTCCGATATAATCATTATGATGATTCATGAACACATTTCTAACAGAGACTGATGTAATCATATGAATTGCTAGCACTAGAAAACCATATAACAATCTAACAGCATTCTAGGAAGATTCGCAAACATTCTCACATCTAATAAACATCCTTTAAGTATGCATTTGTATCTCAAGAGAGATAATTTCATTAAGCTACAGATTTCACATTTATACCGTGAAAGGATTTGCCTATCAAGATCCATCTTCAAAGGAAGAGCAGCTCCATAGGTATGTGCAATAACTTGCCTCTTCATCTCTTCTTGCGATTTCTTTCCCTGAATCAAAAGTGAAACCCTAATTTCAGAAATTGCGAAACCCCAGAAGAGCCCGATTTACTTCTCGAATTTCACCAATTAAGAAAAATAAATAAAAAATTGCGGATACGGGAAAATTCAATTTGAAGTCGTAAATGAAACACAAAAAGTTCAAGTTTTAGCTAAATTGAATATAAAGCATGAAAAAAAAAAAGAAGCTAGGAAGTGTTTACTGATTCGTAGGCTGATTCGAGAGGGTGAGATCCAACGATATCGCTCTTGATGCCGTGAAGACCAAATCGAAGAGCATCGTTCTTCAGACCTCCGATCTCGTGAGGTATCTTCTTCGGTGACTCCATTTATCCTCGTTATATGCTTTTCTTCTCCGTTGTAAGTTTTTCTCTCGTGCTTTTAACTTTCTCGGCGACTTTCTGGGCAAGCAAGCAAAGCAGGACGAATGAGAAAATCAGAAGAAAAAAAAAAATAGGAAGAAGCTCAAAACTCAAAACTCAAGGCCCATACACACTACCCTTTTAAAATTTATTTTTAACCCCATTTAAGCCCACCAAAGTCAAAATGCATTTCGGATTTGGCCAGAAGTTAGGAGGCTGGTGTTCGCGTTTAATAGTGTTAAAAAAAAAAAAAAAAAAAAAAAAAAGAAATTAATAGTGAATAATAGCAATTCAAATAGCTAAAATAGGTAAAAGACTTCAAGAAAGCACAAAAACTGTGATTTCAAGAAACGCAGAGACTTCAACTAAACTGTGTGATTGTAAGCTTCAGTCGAATGCAAGCTGGCAAGTAGGTGAACGCCTGATGAACAAAGTCAACTCCTTCATCATCTCGAATTTCTTGTCACGGTCATTGGAATTGGAGGAGATAGTTACTTTTTTCAAACAGCTTCCGTTTCTTAACATAAATCCCACCACTTCTTTTTCTTCTTTTGTTCCTTCATAGCCTACCCATTCGAGAGTTTCAAGACTTGATAACACACATTCAGGAACTGAACTCGGTTCGTTCCAGAGAGGGCGCGTTTGATGAGCCAGAAGGTCATAGTACTGAGAGATAAAACACTACAGAAGACATTTAGTCAATTGGAGAAATAACGTGGCCAAAGAAATTGAGTGAATATGTACCTGCTCAAGTGAGAGAGCTCGTAATTTAGGGGAGTCTCTGAGCATACACATAAGTAGATTCAACCACTCTGGCTCACATGTGCATAGCGATAAATGTACAAGACGGTGGAAGACAGTGCCACCAGGATACAAATCCTGCAATGCATACAAGACATTCAAATAAACTGACTGTGAAAACAGACAGAGCAAGAGTTGCAGGGAAAACTTATAGTTAACAAGAGAATACCTTCGAGGCCAATAAACAACACCAGAGATACTTGACTGAAGGAATACACCTCAACATATCCCCATGATGAGTATGCTTAACGTCAACAGATGCCTCAGCAATATTAGGCATTTGATTCTCAATGACACAAAATCCACGTTCCAAAGTAATGTCCAAGGATTCCAAGAAAGGAGCATTTATCTCAAACCCATCTTGATCATCAATATCTCTGTTTACTGAGTTAAACAAGACTAACCTTTCTAGAGAAGGAACTCTCACGGTGAAAACAGTAACATTGTCATCTGGACATTTTTCAACTCTCAAGTCTTCAAGCACATAACGATTGGATAGAAGACTGTTGACAAATTCTTCATCAGGATACTTAACTGATAAAAGTTTCAAACTTTTAAGGGAGGGGAAAGAAACCGGCGAGGAGAAATCGACAAGAATCACGTTTTTTAGTTCCAGTGTCGCAAGCATTTTTGTACATCCCGTGTACAAAATCCTCGGAACTATGACTGGAGATTCTCTAGAAGAGCAGTCGATTTCGATAATGAGCTCACGCACAGAGCACTTATTCGCAGCTCTAATCCACACCTTATGATCTTCAGCACCGCAGGTTTTGCCAAGCTTGAAATGCAAAGTTTCTATCACCGGAGCCTCGTGCATAATCAAAGACCTGTCCACAAACCGCGAGAACTTCCCATACTCAATGTTTTGGTAGCTATCATCATACACGAGTCTTGGCACAGACATCCAAAGAAACTGCCATCGTTTTGACAAAACCATTGTGGACACAACATCTCTAGCATCAGGCAGCTCACTTATCCTATCCATAAGAGATATCCCCTTTCAAATCCCAACGCCTGAAACATCATCGAAAATAACGATCAAAGGATATTATGGAGACTTTAGAAGAATTGAAATGCTTTCATTTTTATTGGAAGGACTTCAACGCACTTGACTCTGTTAATAAAGCTTGGGAGGATGCGAACGAATGGGCTCACAGAATTGAGAATGGAGCTCATGGTGGTGAAAAACCGGGTATAAAGGTTGGCCGAGCTAGATGGGAACCTGCTCCACTGAACTAGGTTAAGTGTAATGCGGATGCAACCTGGTCTAATACTCGATGGAGACTAAGTTGTAGAGAGGATTGTGCAAGTTGGTGTAAAGGAAGTCTGACATTTCACCACCAGGAGGGGCAGAATAGGTGAAAGAGCCCACATAAACCGAGCATAAGTACATTGAAATAACACATGGTTCACAGTTTCTTCCCCGGCTTGACATCTGCTGCAGCTCGCATCTCGGGCAATATGTCTACGATACATGTTAGCAGCCACAGAAATTGAATTGCTTAGACATTGCCATAAGAAGTGTTGAACTTTAGGGCTAGTATCAGTTTTCCATATCAATTGGTAAAGGGGTTCAAAACTTGGCTGATCATAAACTACTGGATTCCGAGCATCATCAATAATGTTCCTGAGAACCCAATATCCAGATTTAAATGAGTACTGACCATTCCTAGAGAAATCCCAGCAATACCCGTCAACACTCTCCGAACCCCCAGGCCTGATTTCCTCAATAAATCTCATATCCTCATCAGTGAATAATAGTCCAAGAGCATCAAGGTTCCAATCTCAGATTACAAGGCAACAAGAGATCACTAACACTTTCTTCATCGCCACTACAGGCCTTGCCGGATTCACACCAATCCATTGATCATTCCAGATCGAAATCCGTTTGCCATTCCCAACAGTTCTTCTTGCACCTCTCCTTATCAGTGCCTGAGCAGCCAAAATACTTTTCCAAGCATAAGAGGGTCTTGAGCCAAGCCCTGCTTTCAAAGGATCAGACTTGGAGAAATATCGGGCCTTTCATTTTAGGTTTTTATATGTTCTGCATTGTAAATATTAGTGGCGTTTGCTCAAGGGAAACTTGTTTATAAAGTCTTTTAAACATCCATACGACCAACATAAAGAAGCCCCAGTTTGTGCAAGATTCAAGTAAACACGAAATGAAACAAAGACCATATATGATAAAATCAAAGATAAAAATGATGATGCAGATAAACCTAGTAAAGATAAATAGTGAATTATAGCATATAATTCACTATTCAAATAAGGAATTCAAATAGCTAAAATTGGTAAAAAGACTTCAAGAAAGCACAAACTGTGACTTCAAGAAACAGAGAGACTTCAACTAATGTGACTGTTAGCTTCAGTCGAATGCAAGCTGGCAGGTAGGTGAACGCCTGATGAACAATGTCAACTCCTTCATCATCTCGAATTTCTTGTCAGGCTCAGTGGATTTGGAGGAGATGGTTACTTTCTTCAAAGAGCTTCCGTTTCTTAACATAAATTTCACCACTTCTTTCTCTGCTTCCGTTCCTCCATAGCCTGCCCATTCGAGAGTTTCAAGACTCGATAACACACATTCAGGAACTGAACTCGGTTCGTTCCAGAGAGGGCGCGTTTGATGAGGCCGATGGTAAGAGTACTGAGAGATAAAATAGTACAGAAGACACTTAGTCAATTGGAGAAATAACGTGGTCAAAGAAACTGAGTGAATATGTACCTGCTCGAGTTTCAGAGCTCCTAATTTAGGGCAATCACTGAGCATACACATAAGTAGATTCAACCACTCTGCCTCACATGTGCATAGCGTTAGATATACAAGACGGTCGAAGACAGTGCCAACAGGATACAAATCCTGCATACAATACATTCAAATAACTGTGAAAAATAGACAGAAGCAAGCGTTGCAGGGAGAACTTATAGTTAACAAGAAAATACCTTCGAGGTCGATAAACAACAATAGAGACGTTTGACTGATGTAAATGAACTCAGAATCTCCCCAGGATGACTATGTGTAACGTCAAGGTATGCCTTAGCAATATTAGGCATTTCATTCTCAATAATACAAAACCCATCTTCCACACTAAGGGCCAAGTATTCTAAAGAAGGAGCATTTATAACATACCCATCCTCATCATCACTATCTCTGTTTTGTGGGCTATAGAAGACTAACCCCTTTAGAGACGGAACTCTCACGTCGAAAACAGTCACATTGTCATGTAGACACCTTTCAACGTCCAACTCTTCAAGAACATGACAATTGGATAAAAGATCGCTGACAAATTGATCATCAGGATACTTAACTAATATAAGGCTCAAAGTTTTGAGAGAGGGGAAAGACACCGGTGAGGAGAAATTGACAAGAATCACATTATTTAGTCTCAGTTTCACAAGCATTTTTGTACATCCCGTGTACAAAATCCTCGGAACTATGACCGGAGGTTCTTTAGAAGGGCAATAGAATTCGATGATCAGGTCACGCACAGAGCACTTATTCGCAGCTCTAATCCACACCTTAAGATCTTCAGCACTGCAGGTTTTGCCAAGCTTGAAATGCAAAGTTTCTATCACCGGAGTCTCGTGCACAATCAAAGACCTGTCCACAAACCGCGAGAACTTCCCATACTCAATGTTTTGGTAGCTATCATCATACACAAGTCTTGGCACAGACATCCAAAGAAACTGCCATCGTTTTGACAAAACCATCGTGGACACAACATCTTTAGCATCAGGCAATAACGACAAAACTCTCAAGAGTAGATCATCAGGCAGCTCACTTATCCTATCCATAAGAGACATCCCCTTTCAAATCCCAACGCCTGAAAAAATCATCAAAAATAACTATCAAAGGAATGTGAAATTCCAAGTGTGTGGTTTTTCAGGAACCAAACAAATAGCCATTATAAGCAGGGATCAAAGCAAAACTCATTACATATAGAAAGGGAAGCAACCAAAATCCAAACTCACCCGAGCGCACAAAGTGTATCAAGCAGGTCATGAACTAACTCATACAAAATCAAACAAACAAGTATGATTGAGACTCAGAAGAAGTTCACAGTAAAAATACCTGAAATCAATCTTGTTCAGCCGAGAAGTGGGAATGACTTCTTCGATACTGGCACTAATTCAAATAGGAACTCTATTGATGGAGCTTTCAAAATTTCATCAGTCGCTTCAGATTACATAGACAGGATTTGGAAAATATCATCTTAGGGTTTTGGAAATTATCGGTATAAATATTAGTTTTTTCTTACTTTTTATTTTATTTTATGATATTAAAAATACATTTTAAGAGGGATACTGAACCTAAGACAAAAAAAGAAAAAAAGAGGGAAATTGAACCTTTATACATACGATGATTATACAGAGTTTGATATACAAGAGCAAAATGACAAATAGCGTTGATCGAAACGTCGCCATGTATATGATTCAAGAGGTAGAAGATACAGAGTTGGTGGAGACATTAGAAATCAGTCTTACTTCATAGATATTCTCACTTTCTCCTTTGCCTTCAAAAGCAAACCAACAACAACAAAAAGAAAAGAAGAAGTAATATTAACAATTCAGAAATCAGTTTAACAACTGAGAACAAGAAATAAAAACATCTACTTACCGACTTCCGCAGTGATGTTTGGTCCAAAGAAGGAAGTGAATTTTGCCTATCAAAACAAAGAATTGTATGCTTTAAAACATCAGTTTCAGCTTTATGTTTTCCCACTTCTTAGAGACTACATTTGATGAAGCCAAATCTAATATGTTCTCTTTGACATTAAAACAGGTTAGCTCGTAGCTTGCTTAGTTTACGAATCTAACTCTTTACCTGTCTTTTTTCGAAATCTGACAACTGTAGACCTTTGGCCTCAAATACAAGGACCAGGCAGTAACGACCATCGGTCAGGACCTGTGTACACGAGTCGAGAAATGATCCGGGTGAGTTTAGTTTCATCAGTCAATGACCATGTCAAATGCAAGTATATAATGAAGATCTATATATGTTAATTCATATGATAATATGATGTAAGTCATGTACAAGAAGAAATTTACCTCCTCCCTTATCATCGTTAAGATAGGTGCACTACGTCTTGGGATTCCTCCGCCCTAATTGCAAAAAGTTGAAAGAGCTGTGCTTAAAGTGGATGTAAGAAGTGTGCTGGAATTCTTTTTTTTTTTTTTTGATATAGCTTACCAGTCCATATTGAAAGATCCGTTTTAGTGCTTCTTCCAAATGCTGTTCATCTCCATAACGGTATCTCGTGACATCATTTCTAACCTGATAAAAGAAAGAAGAAGCCCGGCACATTTCAAATTTACGAGAAGTTTATCATCCTTGTGCACTAGCTTTGGAGACAAGTAATAGATTGATAGAGTTTCCTATATTGCTTGTGCTTGTGCTATCAAAAAGAAACTACAATTTCATGTCCAAACTGAACTTTTGTGTAAGCAAGGGCCTCTCAAAGTGTACATACTACACTAGAATAAAGCTAGCTTTTAGTTAGAATTTCCAAATGCTAATGATGCAAACTACTAGTATCAGGCATCCTCTGACTGTTGTCAAAAAAAAAAGGCATCCTCTGATTATGTATTTTCATTTCTAGAAAACTTTGAGCAGCTTCAATCAGAATCATTAGCAAGTTTTATTATAGTGAAGAGATGAAGAATTATCTATTGTCACCAACGAAGGTACTCCGATATGTATGGAGAGCAACCAGAACTACTAAGTACCTGCGTTAAAATAGGAGTAGCGCAGCTTTCCCTAAGCTTTACGGCATCTGAGTAGCTCAAGCAAGGAACTGGTTTGAGTTCTGCGTACTGCAAAGGGAAGCAAAACAGATCCTCAGGGACTACAACTATTAGGCATTCCAGAAAAAAATCAAAGAACGAAATGAAGAACTCTAATACACAAGTACAATTTCTCCGTAAAGTTACAGCTATCCAAGATATTCCACACTCTGAAGATATCCAAACTGAAGATCAAATACTTGCAAACAAAAGAGATGGCATATACCTTGAGTGTTATACACTAAAGCAAAACAGATTCTCAGGTTCTAAAACTATTAGGGATTCCAAAAGACCACGAAAGAAATGAAGAACTCTAATACACAACTCAAACTTCTCAGTAAAGTTACAGCTATCCAAGATATTCCACACTCTGAAGATATCCAAACTGAAGATCAAATACTTGCAAACAAAAGAGATGGCATATACCTTGAGTGTTATACACTAAAGCAAAACAGATTCTCAGGTTCTAAAACTATTAGGGATTCCAAAAGACCACGAAAGAAATGAAGAACTCTAATACACAACTCAAACTTCTCAGTAAAGTTACAGCTATCCAAGATTTTCCACTCTCTGAAGATATCTAACGAGCAAAAAGCGTGATCAAATATTTGCAAACACAAGAGATGGCGTATACCTTGAGTGCCATTCCGATTATAGCAAGGGGAAACCCATATGTTAGCATAATAGCAGACCACTCAGATCCAGGAAGGATGTTAAAATAAGCCCCGAAACCGTACCTGAAAGATTTAACACAATCCATAAAGAAAACTCACACGTAACTATACAGCAACAAAGAAGCCATGACGAGAAAACTCACGAGAGGAGCGAAACCCCGAGACCTAGTCCAATAACACCAAATGAAATCTGCAAATACAAAACAGATGCAAAAAAAAAATAAAAATTTAGTGTTCAAATTCTTCCAACACACATTATAGAAACTTCTGGTTATGTTACAACAAAGTAGCATCTTAGTTTTGTATAGATACGAAACAATTTAACAAAAACAACAACTTTGATTAGCAATGAAACCAATTTCCTTCAAATCTTGCGATATGGCCAAAAATTTCCATCAGGATGTGAATTGCATACATCAAATCCTGCATAATTCTCAATTGCAAATCACTAAAAATCTCACCCACTTCACCATAAGCCTCACTCGCTTCAAAAAAAAAAAAAAAAAAAATCGAACAAGGCAGTGCTTGTTGCACGAACAATTAATAATAACATTAATCTTAATTAGGGATTTAAAAGGTCGAGAACGATTATAACCTTGGCTAGAGTGAATTCGTCATCAGGGATTAAGGTCTTATCACCGGAAGCCACGGAAGGAGAAGAGCTAGTGGAATCAGCAGCTCCGGCGATGAAATCCATCCTCAGAATCTCTTGTTTTAACCTCGTCTCCGGGACGTAGAGCCATCTCTGCCGTGGCATAAGAGGCGGTTGTGAAGACGAAACGACGGATAGATTCTCATGGCGACGATCGTACAGACCTAATCGCCGATTGCTGTGGCGACGGAGACTGGAGGATAACACGGTGGTTCCCGAAGCAGCCGATATGGATCCCATTTCTCTCTCTCTCTCCGTATCTGCGAGAAGAAGAGTTAATGTGAGGCTGAGGCCAAGAGTTCAGGAGTGTTCAACTTTCAGCCGCCAAAATTCTGGCCACGATTTCTCCATTCTGATTTTGGTTTACGAAAACCAGTTAACCGATTCAAAACCAACCGGTTATAATCGTGGTTACGAAAACCAGTTAAACGATTCAAAACCAAACGATTTAACTAAACGGATGTGATGATACGGAGAAGTCGTGGTTCTCGATTGAAGAAGACAATTCGTATTATCGTGGCGAACAATTATTTATAAAAATCTCATCCGGTTTTCACTAAACCAAAGAATGGGCCGGTTTCACTTTCAGTTTGATGTGCGTCATGGCACGAGGGCTCCAATCACCCATACTAGCATCGGTTTACGAAACCGGAACAATACATTCAATAACAAGAGATATTTTTGGTTCGGTTTCTTCATCTGGTTAATTAGGAGTGAAAGTCAACGGGCCCAAGCAAGTCTTAGCAAAAATTACAACCGGTTTTTACTGAGCCAAAGAAATGGGACGGTTTTAATCTCCATATATAACCAAAAAAGAGGACCGACATTACAAAAACTGAAAATACAATCAAAATACAAATATTATAGAATCTGGTCTCATTTTCATACATTCTTTGGACCTTACAATAAACTCCCAACTATCATGATCGTCTCCAAGAAAGTTGGAATGGTTTTTAACATAATAAGTTACAAACAGAGCTTGTTAACAACAACAATTCATATACTCAGATGCAATTTAAAATCGCATGTTTAAAAGAGTTTGAGTTAGCCGTTTTTTACCTCTTCTTATCAGAATCATGTTCTTACTTGTTCGTAGCCAAAAAGCAAATCATCACTTCTTCTTTGCTTGGAGCTGTTTCATCCTGCAAACCATTGGATACAAAAGAAGAATTGAGATGCAAATCAGAATATACAAACCCATGAACAAATTAGCATTGATTGAAGTTCAAGAAAATTACAGTAGAGCAACGTGCTAAGAAAGTGTTTTGATTGCATTTGTAACACAGAGAATCCAAAGTGAAGCATCAATTACTTTTACTGTTAGTGCTTTAGTTGCAGATTTTGGACATATAAATGTGATTTGAGATTGATCAAGCAACTTTAAAACCTAAAAAGCTTCATGGTACTCTTGGAAAATTCCTTGACCTTTACAAGCTTAAGAGAGATATAATGATTTACCTTTTGAAAGAGAAGTACTTCTCTAACTCTGGTATCTGCTCAGAGCTAAAAGCATACCATTTTTCATGAGGACAAACTTCACTCCAACTTCCAAAATCTGCACTCAAACAAGGGACAGAGATTATAGTTACTAGTATGATTCTTCTTCAAAACAAAGAGTTTGTATGTTTTTCACACCTTGAAGCAACAAGTTTGGTTCTTCATTGTACGACTTCAATCTCCAGAGACTAAAACCATTTTCATCCACTTCAACCGGTTTGATTCTAAGAATATCATCACATCCTTGACTCATTGCGAAAACAATTAGTACAGTCAGCCTCTAAACACATGATCATCGTTACAAGGAATCACATGAGTTTAAATTTGTACCTTGAGATAAAATATCTTTTTTCCTTCCAACAATTTCATCAATGTAATTCCTCATCACCCTGAAAAATTTAATACAACATGTAAACCATTAAGCACTATAAACATCAAGAGAACAATTGATTCAAGTATATGAATATCACTATAACTTACGATGTGCCAAGGGTCTCATCGCATAAGAAATTCAAAAGGTTAAGCCTTTTTGATGAGTCCAGCTTCTCATACGCATCAATGCCCTTTTGAAACATTTCAGGAGGAAAATAATCAAGCTGAACTTCTGATTCCAAAAGACATTCTCCAATAGCGGTGAACCAGCTATCATCATTTGCACTCAGGCAAACCGATCTGTATTATTTGAAAATTGAAATCAATCAAGATATGCATCATGAGAGAGGGAAGCTAATAAAAACTTTGATACTTTGCAAGATAATAATTCTTACGTTTCTCCTCTATCTTCCAATATCACAGTGAGTAACTGGATTATCATTTGGGTAAGAGTCGAATGTTGTTGTCTCCTTTTGCTTCTCCCGGATAACATTTCACGTATAACACACACAGCTTGACCTTTCCTCAAATCAAGAGCCTATTTGAAAAGACACATGAAGCAGATACGAGCCATTAGTAAATCTTTTGAATATTCAGAGTTTATAATAAAGTGCAGAATAGTTTTCAAACTGTGCAAAAGCATAGATGATACCTTTTCAAAAGCTGAACAAAACTCCAAAAACTGAAATACGTTTCCAGCATCTTCAGGGGGCAAGTCAATGCCAGAAACAGTGATTGAGTCGATGCCCTGAGGTAGTTTAACCTCCTCAATCTGATGCTCTTTCTTTTTCAGAACAGGTTTAGTTCTCGCGATCTTGCTCTTTTGCACTTCAGCATTCTGATGCTCTTTCTTTTTCAGAACAGGTTTCGTTATCGTGATCTTGCTCTTTTTCACTTCAGCACTCTGATGTTCTTTCTTCTTCAGAACAGGTTTTGTTCTCATGATCTTGCTCTTTTTCACTGCAGCATTCTCCTCGTCACAGCCGTTCTTTACATCCTTGAGCTCTTCACGTTTAGATTTTTTCGATTTTTTAACCTCAACATGGTTTTGCACAACAGTAGTCTCCTCCCCAAGTTTCAGCAGTGAAGCTACAACATCGTCTTCCTGCAAATTACCATACAATTGAAAACGGACTCAAAAGCTAAGATACACACAACAAGAATCTCTCTTGAAACATAGCACGTACCGGTTTCACCTTCTTCTTGTAGAAGAATTTATCAGCACCTTCCTTTTTAAGAAGCTCCGAAACAGAAGAGAACCCAGTTGCTTTAGCTGTGTGTACCAATATCCCTGTAGGCCTCTGACCCCGTTTCTTCCTGGAGAAAAAAAAAGAAATCAGTTAGAAAAAATTTACAAAATCAGCTCTAAAAACAATAGTAATGGATGATTTTGACTTACATGCAGAGGCTACAATTGCAATTGCCTCTGCATTTGGGACAAACCCAATCATTCATCGACGCAACTTCTTCAGCGTTCTCTCCGTACCTATAATTCGATCCCAGAATCATAACACAATACGCATTTTTACATAACACACGGCATAAAAATCTCAAAAACATCAAAGCCAAACCTGTTCAATAGGCACTTGGGACAGAACTTCATCGGACATGTCTTGTCTCGCTTCTTTGTCACGCACGATCCAACCAAATCCATTCTCCTTTGACGACACTGCAAACACAAAAGACCATTTGATTCAACAATAAATATCATATATTTTTACTCCAATCCGTAAAATCAATCCAATACCATGAATACACCCAATCTGAATCAATACGTTTAAACAATTTTTTTCCATGAATTTGACGAGTGCCCACATTTTAATTTCATCGTAATTCCAAAACCCAAACGAGAAAAATCCCCAATTCGAAAACTCAAATTAAACTCCATGAAAGACCGTTGATTGAAGCAACAACTCATAAGTGTTAACTCGGATCCGTAAAAGCAGATTCAATACTATTTTATAGATCTCGATCGAATTAATTTCAAAACCCAATTCAAAAGAAAAATCGATAAAAATGAAATTGCCAAACCTGGTGACAAGTTTTTCCATTGATGGAACCTTCGATCCTTACTTCAGCAGCAGTATTAGGACGATTGGTTGTTTCTCTGGTCTGTTTCATGCTCTCCACCGCCATAGCCAGAAGCTCGACCAAAAAAGCACCCACAAGAAAAAATCGAAAAATCAGATTCACTTGTTTGCTTCAGAGTTTCTATGATCCTTTCTTAGAAAGAGTGATAGATTTTCAGGATAAAGGAAATCCAAATTTCAGATTTCTTTTCGTTTTCCCTCGCTTTTACTGAAAATTTTCGGAAGAGGAATAATGGCGGGCGAGGATTTCGATTTTTCGGGTTTTTTTTTTCAGGGGTGTCTCCGTACATTTCATCTTTACAGATCTAGAAGCTCATATCCAGTAACAGTAGTTTTTTTTTTTTGAACAACCATTCCATTTAATTAATACTAAAAATGCGATTACATCAGCTTAAGAGAAATAATAGAAAGTCATTAAGGATTTTCTTTGCTAGAGCGTCGGCTGAAACATTGCTCGATCGCAAAACGAAATTGAAAGAGATAGAAAGGAGCAGTGGCATCAGAGATCTGATGTCTGAGAGGATTCCATAAAGTGTCTTGTTCTGATCACCTGAGGCGATTACTCGGAGGAGTTCCTGAGCATCAGAATTGACGATTAAATTGGTGATTTGTCGGCTTATAGCTGAATGGAGAGCCGCTCGAATTGCCAAGGCTTAAGCTATGATGGGATCGTACCATGGTTTCGGTTGCGCTGCCTCGGAAGGTTTCTATGCTGGAGTTATCGGAGAAGATCCAACCTAACCCGGCCGCCTTTTCTTCACTTTTCTATGAAGCATCAGTGAAGCAATTAATTGTCGATGGATTTGAGCTCCGAATTTCCTATCGCAAGGTAAGAGATGGTTGGCGGGTTCTTTGTTCTATGCTTTCCAGTAATTAGGCTTCCTGCCATTCTCTAGCATTTTGAATTGATTTGATGATGGTTTCCTCCACAGTGAAGGATCAATTTTCGAAGAGCTTGAGATTGCGGGAAGACCATATAGCCCAGCATATCCACGGAAACAGGGGTCCATTACCAATCCCCGTCGGTGGTAGGGTAAGGAGGTGCCTTGACAGGTTCAAACCGTTTGAGAGGTTCATGATGTTTCGAGAGTCGACTGAGTTCAGGAAGGGAGCGGCTAACCAGACTTGTTAAGCAAATTCACAGTAAAATAGTAGGTGCTCTATATTCTCCAATTCGCCACAATGGGTGCAGCAAGAGTTTTCCATCAATCATCTAATCAGGAGATTTTCTCCAACAGGTAATGCTCGCTGTGCTGCTTTCCAGAGAAATAATTTGAGCTTTGGTGAGAACTTACCCTCCCATATGTCTGTTTTCCAATTAGGCAAGGTGTTCTCGGTTGGATTGTTCCCTGTGGTCTCGTCTTGCATAGAGATTGTTGAGTGATATCCAGTCTTTGCTGTGTAGAGTCCTGACTTGCTGGGAAGCCACATATATGTGTCCTTTGCGTCACTAGTACTGGGTCGAAGACACAGAATTATCTCTTTCCATTCAGGTATGATCGCATTTATTCTGTTTAAGCACCATGCTTTCCCATCAGGAATTAGAAGATCTGATACTTTTAAGTCTTTTGATGAAAGGGTTAGAGGGCCCATTGGTCGTAGAGGTTCGGTTAGGGATAGCCAAGGGTCGTACCATAAAGATGTTGCTTTCCCATTCCCTAAAGCTATGCCCAATTGTTTCTTTAAAAGGTCTCTACCAATCAGAATACTCCGCCAACCATGAGAGACCGATGCTGGGGTAGAAGCCTCGAGGAATGGTTTGTTGATGCAGTATTTCCCAAGTAGCACACGAGATAGCAAGCAGGTCGGGTTTTTCAGAATTCTCCAGCTCAATTTGGCCAAAAGAGCATCGTTGAATGTTGTATGTCCCTGAAATCCAGTCCACCTTCCTTCTTTGATCTTGCAAGTTTTGACCATGAGAAGTAACAAATTTTCTTCTTCCATGAAGATGAATCCCACCAGAATCTAATGATAGTTGATTGGATTCTTTTACAAATGCTGGTAGGTAATTTGAAGTACATCATTGAATATGTAAGTATTGCCACCAAAACAGATTTGATCAAGGTTAGTTTTCCAGCAGTTGAAAAGAATCTAGAAGACCAACTTACAGCCTTCTGCCTGATTCGGTCCACTATTTGCGCAAAGAGGTCTTTTTTCTTCCTTCCAAAGCTTTCAGGCAGGCCTAGGTACTTTCCTGTTCCGCCTTTTTGGTTTATGCCAAATGTTCTCTTCACTCTTTCCTTTATGTCTTGAGGGATTTTCCCAGAGAAAGTTATAGATGATTTATCAACATTAATGCATTGACCTGAAGCTTCCTCATATTGTCTGAGAATTGAGACTAAAGTTTCACAGCATTCTGGACTTGTTTTGCAGAAGATCATGGTATCATCTGCAAATAAGAGGTGATTCACCAAGGGGATTCCGCGGGCAACTCGAACACCAGGTAGATGGCCACTCGCTTGAGCCCTTCGACATAGACTAGAAAGCACTTCTCCGCATAAGATGAAGATGAAGGGTGAAAGGGGATCGCCTTGGCGAATCCCACGTTGAGGCAGGACGAAACCTTGGGCAGTTCCATTTATCAAGAAGGAATAAGAGATAGTATAAATGCATTGGAGAATCCAGCTGATCCACTTGGCATGAAAGCCCATTCTCTCCATGACTGAGGTAATGAAATCCCACTCTAGCCTGTCATATGCCTTACTCATATCAGTTTTAACTGCCATAAAACAGTGTTTGATTGCTTCTGATGCTTTTAGGCAGTGTAGGATTTCGTGTGTGATGAGTATGTTATCGGAGATAGCCCTCCTTGGCACGAAGGCTGATTGATTGTCCGAGATGATTGAGGAGAGCACTGGTTGAAGTCTTTTGGTAAGGATCTTAGATATTATATTGTAATAAACATTACATAATGCTATCGGTCTATAATCTGCCACTGACTTTGGGTTCAGGATCTTGGGTATGAGCCATACGTGTGTGTAGTTCAGGTTTCGAGGCAGGATTCCCGTGATGAAGATTTGTTGCACTTCCTCGGTGATTGAAGGGCCCACCACTAACCAGTTAGACTGGAAGAAGCTTGCAGAAAAGCCATCCGATCCTGGAGATTTATCCGGGTGGATGGAGAAGAAAGCAGCTCTGATTTCTTTCTTTGTTGGATCTGCCACAAGTAAGTTGTTTGCTTCTTCTGAAATACATGGTTGGATAGCTTTAGCAACCACCTCAGAGCATTGTTTGTTCCTAGTTATAAACAGGTTGTGGAAGTAGTTGTTTATCACATGGACTATATCAGGTTCTTCGTAAACCACCTTCCCATCTTTATCTTCTAATACAGAAAATTTGTTTTGAGCTCTTCGGGTTTTTGTAGTTGCGAGAAAGAACCCAGTGTTCTTGTCTCCTAGGGTTAGCCAAAGGATCCAACTACGCTGTTTCTAATATTCTTTTTCAATATGGTAAGTTGTTCTCAACTCATTGTTGGCTGCCATTATTGCTTCTTCATTCATAGAAGTAGATGCCATAGCAGTTTCCAGTTTTTCCTTTGCTGCTATAATGGCCTTTTGACTGTTTTGGTGATGCTCTTTATTCCATTTTGATATAGCTCTCCTGCAGTTGGAAATTTTCTGTTCCACAGTTGCATAAGGTCTTTGCCACCATGCATGCTTCTTTGATTAGTTGGCTGATCTTAGGGTTGATTCTCATACGGTGATCATATCAGGATAGGTTATCCTTCATTCTTGAGGGAGGATCAAAAAAGGTAACCAGGGATCTGTGGTCCGATCCCTCAAAATTTAGATAGCTACAGCGGCTTGAAGGGAAGATCTCAGCCCAGTTGCTATTTGCCATAGATCTGTGGAGACGACAATGGACCAAATGTGTGGTTTTCACTCCCCTGCAGGACAGAAGATTACCCGAGTGTTTTAGGTCGAAGAGGTCACATTGCGAGAGAAAGGCTCGAAAGTCTCCAAAAGATGCTTCAATTCTTATCGGTCCTCCAGACTTCTCTGTATTGTCGATTATCTCATTGAAGTCTCCGGTGACAAGCCAAGGCCCATCTCTTGCCATTGTTTTATTGGTAAGTTTCATCCAAAGATCTCTCCATTTTGACTGATCAGGTTCGCCATACAAGAATGTGGTAAAGAAGTTTTTCCCTTTGTAGGTAATGGAGGTATCTATGTAGTCTTTGCAAGAGGAGAGGACAGAGATGTCGATGTGATGGTTCCAGTATATCGTGGCTATGAGGGGAAACAAAGGTATATGTGTAGAGTTCAAGAAAATCCAGCTTTTTATTGATAAACTCATCACTATTCTTTGTTTCCATTAGGAAAATTACATCAGGAGAAAGAGTACGGTGGAGCTCCCTTAAACGTCGAACTGTTGCGGGATTTTTCAAACCGCAACAGTTCAAGCCACAATCTTTAAGGAAGAGGATTTAGCGGATTGTGAAAATCCGCATCCTCTTGTGGCTTTAAAGTCTCGAGTTGTGCTTGTGAAGAAAGGACGGTTCTCCAAGATCCATTTTGAGTTCCTTGGGTTGAGGTATGATCTCCCGAAATGCCATCTCTGTTAGCTCTTATAGCTTGGTTGGTAGTAGTAGAATTAACTGTTTGGCGGTGGGTGATCTGCCCTTGAGAGTTTCTGATTGTAGAAGAGATTCTGCTATGAGCAGGATTTCTTGGTTTTGGTGACTGTTGTATTTGATTTGCCTTTCGCATTTTTGAGCTTGCACCAATGGCTATTTGGGGGCTGATCATTGTTTTCTTTCTTAGTGGAGGCCTACCCCTTTTCTTCTTGATCAGTTCTTCTTTAGTGCTCATCAGGTTTGGTACATTAACGTTGGTTGGTTCATCTGGAGTGATACGAATTGTAGATGGTTCTCCAGGGTAGAATCCACTCAGAGTAGTAGGAAAGACCCTGTTTGCTGCAGCAGAGAAGATTTGGGCCGCTGTGGTGGCCATAAGTCCTTGTTCTTCGCCTTGGTGAACCCGTTGTTGACGTGCTGCACTTTCTCTAGGATCCGGACAATTTATGTATTGCAGGGTTACTTCTTGGAGATCCCCCAGAATTTCCTCCATAGATTGGATAGGTTGTGGAGCAGGGAAATCACTTATAGTCAGATTCCTTTCCAATGGAGGTCTTTCAGAGTTGTAGCTCCCCGAGTCTCCTTGTATGCTTCCATCGGTACGTCGTTCCTTCTCTCTCTATATTTGTTGTGTTTGGTGTTGGTGTGTGAACCGATGAGAGTTTGAAGTTTCAAGGTCTCGGAGATTAC